TACTGATGTCAGAGAGGAAGGGAGAGGGAGAGGGGGAGAGAGAAACATCCATGATGAGAGAGAATCGTGGATCGGCTGCCTCCTGCCCCACATTGGGGATCGAGCCCACAACCCGGGCACGTGCCCTGACCGGGAATCGAACTGTGACCTCCTGGTTCCTAGGCTGACGCTCAGCCCCTGAGCCAGGCCGGCCGGTGCTTAGCACAGTGTGAACTAAGCCACGCTCCTGGCTCTGAGCACAGGGCTCAGGGTGAGAGCGAGACACAATCCGTAATCTGTCGTTTGAGCCACGAGGCCACTCTTCCCGCCACGTCCTCACACAGACCACCTTGGTGATGAACGCAGAAAAGGGCTCCCTCGGGTGTCAGTCGCTAGCCTGGGACCCAGAATTCCTCAGCTACTCTCAGGAGATGGGTGACGTCCAGACATTTCTCGTAAGTGTTAGAAGTCACGAGCCTGCTTCCGGGATCATGGTTGTGTACGGGGGAGGCTCCTCCGCAGGCCTCTGCTCCTGGTCCCCCCGGAAGCCTGCCTCTCTGTCCCCTCCTGTGACGGTGCCCTGCTCCGTCTCTAGGACCTGTCACTACTGTGGTTGTATTTCTATCACGTTGAATTGTGTGAGTCCCCCCCCGCCGCCATGAGCTCAGGAACAATGTGGGTTTAGGGCCCTCTATACCTGTCATCCTGGCAAAAATGCCTCAAACAGGAAGAGCTCCATCAGCATTCATTGAATGAATGAGTGAGTAGTGACTGATTGAGTGAATGAGTGAATGTATGAGTGAGTGACATATGAGTGAGTGACTAATGAATGAGTGACTAATGAATAAGTGAATGTATGAGTGAGTGACTAACGAATGAATGTGTAATGAATGAACGAATGTATGAATGAGTGAATGTATGAATGAGAGAATGTATGAATGAGAGAATGTATGAATGAGCAAGTGGATGAATGAGTGACTGGATGAATGAGTGACTGTATGTATTTGTGAATAGTGAATGAGTGGATGGATGAGTGAATAATGAATGAGTGAATATTTTTTCCATTGACTTATTTTTCAAAAGAGAGTGGAAGCGAGGGGAGAGGGAAATACATTGATTGGTTGCCTCCTGTACATGCCCTGAATGGGGACAGGGATCTAACCCAAGTCTATTCATGCTCAACCACCGAGCCACACCGGCCGGGCTCTGGTGTCTCTTTGATAAGGGCACTAATCCCAGTCACGAGGGCTGCACCCTCCTGACCCGCAAAGGCCCCGCCTCCAGATACCCTCACAGTGAGGGTTACGTTTCCATGTAGGAAGCTGGGGAGGGTGGAGGGGGTACTGCGCTGGGGTGGCAAGGAGCTGCGACACCTCGTCGTGGAGCAGACAGAGAGCTGAGAGGCTAAGCCAGCGAGTAGGTGTCCCTGGACCGGGAGGGGAGGCCGGGGACCCCCTCCGGGAAAGCAGACAGCAGCCTGCCTGCCGGTTCTGTGGGCTTGTCCCCCGGAGTCGTCCCTACCTGGCACCAGGACACTCGCAGGCTGTGCCCGCCGGCCGGCCGCGCTGTGCTGATGGCAGTCGAGATGCTGCCGTCTGGGCGCCAGGCCGCTGCGCTCCACAGAAGCCCGTTCCGCTCTAATGAGGTTTCAGGCAGGGTGCTGGGAAGGAGAAAGCCTTTTAATTAGATCGGCAGCAATCAGCTCCCGGGCCACAGAAGCCCTTTTCCCCCGAGAAGACAGACACGATGCAATTAAAAGCAAGCAAACCACGCGCGCGGAACACGGGCGGGCTCCCTTTAAGGCCATTAAAAAGAACAGGTTCTGGCCCCGCCCGCGCGGCTCAGTGGCTGAGCATCGACCTAGGAACCAGGAGGTCAGGGTTCGATCCCCAGTGGGAGCGTGCAGGAGGCAGCCGATCCATGATTCTCTCTCATCATGGATGTTTCTCTCTCCCTCCCTCTCTGTAAAACCAATAAACTTATACTCAGGTGCGGATTCTTTTTAAAAAAAACTGGACTTTGTGCCCAATTTAATCTTTTAGGTTCATAAATTATTTTTAAAATAGAAAGAGCAATAAGCTAAGCCATTCGCAGGCGCCACCTCCAGGTGGTGGGGTCGCGGGGTTTTCATTTTCCATTTGATACTTTTCATCCGTCTGTCAGGGCTCGTTGACGAATGCGTGTTTCCTCCGAACGCAGAGGGAAGCTGACCTCTGGGGCCATGCGGCTCGGGCAGGCTTGGCGCCGTCCCATGTCCCCACGGTCCCGGGAACCAGCCTGCTCCCTGGGCGGCGGTGCCGGGCCCTTCCGGAAGCCGGGTCCGCCGCAGTCACGAGTCTCTCCTCTTCCCTTTAAAGGACGAGAAGAACCAGGTCCTCACCACCAACATC